CCGTTGTGGAGAGGTTCGACTGTAAACATAATCCACAATTGTAAATGTCGACGCTTAATCTAACTCTAGGTCAGGGATATTAATGTCACTCCTTCTGGATTAGTTTCCTTCGCAGTCAATTTTCGGACTACTGCAGGATGAAATACTCTTGCGTATCTCCTACACTGCTCTAAGAATTTGCCAACACACGACCCAATTTACATGCACACTTTGGTGGATATCGAGTGGGCGTCTTCATTTCTTCGCACACTGATAAAATCCAACGTAACTCTCTGATCATTTTACACCTCACACACAAAAAAGCCGGGCAGTTGTAAATGAAGACACACAATTTATGATAAAGATGGAATGTTGCCACGAGCAAAGGACCTCCCATGACCTCCCAGATACCGGTTGCTGATCCTAACAGTTGCAGAACGCGTGCCACATATGAACCTAGTAAAATGGCCTAGTTCACAGTGAGGCTCTCTGTAGCTCAGTAGTTACGGCACCTAACCGGTATCTGGGAGGGCAACATTTCATCTTTATCATTTATTCATCGAGTTGCAAATTTGCTATCTCTCATTTATCACACACATTTTACAACGACTTTAAGCCTATAACACATGAAGAAAGTGACCCTCCCCATGTGATTAGTGCATCATAAGCTGATCGTCCTGACCAGCAACTGCTGAACACTAGCCCTGCATGATTAGCCTTGTAATTCTCCACTTTCTATCTTATATAATCTGTAACATTTTGTTTTATGTACTGATATGCACAACCTAAGAAACTCGCGGATAAGCGCAATAAAAGTTCTAAATAAAACTAAACAAAAAAGTGATTAGTCTTTCGTTTAAACCATCAATATGAAGTTGGTATCGTTAATGTCAACCGGCTTTTCTTTTTGTAGAGTAGGGCCGATCTCAATGTCAGCAGTATTTTCAAACGAGGCTGACAGATCTTCTGATTCATTGGAGCTTTCGTAACCAGCGTTTTCTTTTTCTCTGGAAGGTGGTAGCTCATTTTGTAGCGACATTTTTCCAGGGCTCTGCCGTAAAAAATAAACAGAAATATATTTACTGGAAGCCACTAGGTGGATTTTTGCCTCCGTCAGCCGGTCATGCAGCCCTATTAGTGATTTGGATCCCTAGGTAAATTTACTTGACTACTAAATAATAAGGTAAAACCAGGTAAGATCTGCGTCCGGCCAAACGGCCCACACATTCCGCCGGAGCTTATCCCTGAATATTCCTTCTCCCCTTGGATGGGATGCTAGTTCATCAGAGGGTTAACCCCAGCATTTAATTCGCCGGTACCCATTTATACAACCGGGTGGAGTGAGGCACTGTGAGAGTAGTGTGTTACACAAGAATACAACAAAATGAGCCGGCCTGGGCTTGAACCCAGACCAGTCGATCCGGAGTCCAGCGCTGTGCCTCCACAGTGTTCACCGGGTGCTAGATAAAAATTGTACATTTAACAGTAAAGATATTTCTGTCAAAGATTGCGACACTACGTATCGGGACGGTTCCGTCATCGTTAGGCCTCAGGTGCCGTTACCACGGAGATTACACTTACCAACTCTTTTGGAAGCTCCTCCATTTCTACTTCGTCATGATCAGCGGTCTCCCCACTGAACGTGCCGTCACTGAAAGCAATAAGGTTTCCGACGGTGTCTGAAATGAAAAGAAAAAAAGGTTTGTGAACACGGTATAACGAGTGCCACCTGGAGTCTAGACGATTTTTCTCCAAACATGCACGTTACATTTGATACATATAATGGTCGATCTCGACATTATATTTGTAGCTTTTGTCTCATACCTCGGCCAGCTGTTGGCGGCAAGATGAGGGCCTGACTGGGATCCACATTTACATAAGGTTGTTCTTCCTTCTGCAGGTCGAATAACTCTTCCCTCAGGTTCTGGAACGAGGGGCGCTCCTCACATTCACGTGACCAGCAGGCGAGCATGATCTGGTAACTATGGAAGGATCCAGTGAAAACTTATCAGGAGAACGTATATGCTTTACCAGTTCTATCCCAGTTTCATGTAAAGCAATGATTATTATAAAAAGTATTATGTTATATCAGGCTATAAACTCGTTTATCAGGCCGAAGACCATTTGAACCTTGCCTACAAATTATTATTTTATAAGCTAATCAACTCAAGGCAGAAGCCAGCGCCAAGCGCGGGAAATCATGTAACGAGCGGCAAGCGCGGGAAATCATGCAACCGACAGCAAGCGCGGGAAATCATGTAACGGGCGGCAAGCGCGGGAAATCATGTAACCCTCCATGTGACCGACGCCAAGCGCGGGAAATATCTTGTGTACCAAACTCATTTGCGCCTTAGAATCGAGACGAAAACTGGCTGGTGGGACCGTTATTAGGGACAAAACAAAAGATAAGAAGTCATAACGGTCCCACAAGGAACTGCGAGACGTGACTCGCCTCAGATTTCTTCTCGTTTTTAAAGTGGCTAATTGAAAAGCTTTCATCAAGATAAATTATAAATAATAAATACTAATTCACAAAGTAGCAACGTACATTTCATCGGAGCAGTTGTTTGGTTTCTCCATCCGATTTCCTTCCAGAAGAAAGTTTAACAAGTTCATATCGCTTATTGTTGGATAAGGAAATCCACCTTGAAAGAGCAGAAAAAGAAGGCAGTTTTAACTGTTGTCCCAGCATTAGGAGACGCATAATTAACTGATGGCCGACATACGGAACCAGCTAAAATAACACCTCTTAAAAATTGCGTTTTCTGCCTCCGGATTTAATAGGTATTAGACCACTAGGTGAAACCTATGAAAGACTTAAAAAGTTGTCAGGTTTTCGTTGGGAAATGAGATGCACATATTTATGAGGACTTAGTTTCTGAAAATTCACAGAAATCCTATTTTACTGCTATGTAGATTATGTTTTATTCTCCGGTAATGATAGCAGAAAACAAATTACAAAGCAAATTAAAAGCTCGGGGCCGGAAAGCTCAGAACTCCAGCGAACGACTCTGGTTTTTGTGACTTATAACAATACCTGTTACAACTAAATCTCACCTAGCGTGCAAATCTCCCACAAAACAATGCCAAATGCCCATCTGCAACAAACCAAAGAATATAAAAGCGTCAATAGATGCTCAATGTAAACGAGCATGTTAAAAATATCGCGAAACATGGAAAACGAATAGGCCATTTTTGAATTAACTTTAACCTCTTTCTCAAAGGGAGTCTTGGTGCCAACCTTTCATATAAAATGAGATTTCATTCACATACANTGTGAGAGTAAAGTGTCTTGCCCAAGAACACAACACAATGTCTCCGGCCAGGGCTCGAACCCGGACCGCTAGATCCGGAGTCGAGCACACTAACCACGAGGCCACCGCGCTTCCCTGTCCCAACATTAGGAGACACATAATTAACTGATGGCCGACATACGGAACCAGCTAAAATAACACCGTTTAAAAATTGCGTTTTCTGCATCCAGATTAAATAGGTATTAGACCACTAGGTGAAACCTATGAGAGGTTAAAAAGTTGTCAGGTTTTCGTTGTGAAATGAGATGTACACATTTATGAGGACTTAGTTTCTGAAAATTCACAGAAATCCTATTTTACTGCTATGTAGGTTATGTTTCATTCTCCGGTAATGATAGCAGAAAACAAATTACAAAGAAAATTAAAAGCTCGGGGCAGGAAAGCTCAGAACTCTAGCCAACGACTCTGGTTTTTGTGACTTATAACAATACCTGTTACAACTAAATCTCACCTAGCGTGCAAATCTCCCACAAAACAATGCCAAATGCCCATCTGCAACAAACCAAAGAATATAAAAGCGTCAATAGATGCTCAATGTAAACGAGCATGTTAAAAATATCGCGAAACATGGAAAACGAATAGGCCATTTTTGAATTAACTTTAACCTCTTTCTCAAAGGGAGTCTTGGTGCCAACCTTTCATATAAAATGAGATTTCATTCACATACAAATTTAACTTATTTTCATATGAATGGTTGTGCGCCAGGCCTCGCTTTGAAAGAGAGGCTTCTCGGAAAATGGGCTATTCTTATATGATCTTAGATCAGTAGTCTTGGCTCATAAGAGAAACACAACGAATAGTAAGATGAGAGATGTACTCACATATCGCTAGCAGTAGAATAGATTCGATCTCGCATAGCCTCCACAGACAACCAGCGTAAGGGAATTTTACCCGTGCTTCTCTTCACATAGATTCCTTCTCTTGAGAGACCGAAGTCAGAAATTTTAAGCACTTTCTCGTCCCCAACGAGAATATTCCTTGCGGCCAAATCTCGGTGAACTATTCCTTTTCCGGAGAGATACGCCTAAAATAAAAACAAACTTCGTTCATTCGGGGAAACAAGTAGATCGAAGAAAACAGAAAAACATACAAACAAAAAAACAAACAAACAACAACAAAAAACTATTGTAAAAAAAGCTCGCTGTTTGCACGAGTGTGTAAGCTTTATTTTAGTTCACAGATCGACACAAGTAACTGGGAAATTCGTTCTTATGTTTTCCAGCGTTCCTCTCGTTTTGTTGTAATAATATTTTAAGGGTGACCTAGTTTTCCGTCAAATTTCATGATAGATCCACATTTCTTCGTGGTCTACCCGGCTTGGCATTTTGTTAGTTGGCAGAGTTAGATCTGAACGATAAAGTAAATGTACAGTAACAGGGATGCTCTTTACCATTCCGTTCGCAATCTGAAAAGCGAAGGACTGGAGCTCAGAAGAGTCCAGTGCGCCATCTAGACTCGGTGCCCGCGTGGGAGAAGCAGTTTGGGCCTTAGAGGCCGCTTTGGAGTCTAACACTGAAAGGAAGAAAACATAAAGGCGGAAATTCATTTTTGGAATAAAAGTCGAATCAAACAGAATATAAAACTCNTGCTTCCAAAACACACCCAAACGACAGTCGTACGTTTCGCCATATTCATCACGGCTTGCAAGAGAGAAAGATCCTGTCTTTCGAGTTGTCAATCTGCTCCTCTCATAAGAACACTCGCAGTCACACGATGGCCAACTCCCAATGTGGAGACAGCGTGACTAAGTGGTTAGGGCGCCGGACTTGAAATCCGGAGTTAGCGGGTTCAAGTCCCGCTCTGATCACTACTGAAGCTGGAATTGTTTCTCGGTAGACCCTAATACAACTCCTCGGTCATGCTTGTGATAACCAACTGGTCTGCCTCCCGCCAGTTGAGAATTTTAAGCCTATTTTGTTTATTTGAGATATTTTTTTTCAGTTTAAGTGGTATGCCTCAAAACTAGCTGGGTAAACACATTGACCTCGGTAAAAATTTCTGAAACATTCAACGTTGAACATTTTTAGCATTTAACACAACTAACCATTGAGTACTTTGACGGCCACAAGGCTTGTATCTTGATCAGTGTCACCCATACCGTAAGCTTCTGCTAAGAAGACTTTACCGAAAGCTCCTTTACCGAGCACTCGCTTGAGCTCCAGCCTGTGAAAACCAAACTCAAACTCGTCCGCCTCCCCTGTCTCCACTGCTTCCTGGATGCGCTGCTCGACATAAGCTGGATTTAGTTCCAGGCCTCCTTCGGACTTGGGGGGTAGGTTCACCGCAAGGTTAAACCTGAAAAAAAGAGCTCTTCGTTATTGATAGATTCCTCTTACAAAACCAAAGAGAAAATATGTTTGCAATTCACAAGGACAAATTGAACCAAATGGGCATTATGTCAAAAGGGCAAAGTGACATGGGTACATGAAAATTACAGTTTGCGCAATATAAATTTTCTGACTGTGCTTTTTTGCCACCTCGCCCGGAAAGGAAGCCATTTCATCGCAGGTTTGCGCTAAGCATGTCAGGTAGCCCTAGCAATACGCCCGAACACACCTGTAGGATGGGTTTACCATAATCTTTTTAATAAACAGTAGC